TGGGAGGTGCCACTGAGATAGCCATATTTGGAACATTGCCTGACTCGGTATATATATATATGTACTTATATATTAGTATCGTTATTGTTTCTTCAAGTCAGAAATATGCTTCATCAAAAATATACACATCTGTTCCCTTATTTAACAAATGTTTATTAAGTGCCTACTATGTCTGAGCACTACTCTAGCACACTGAGGGTTGCGATCCGTTGCCGGACACGGAAAAAGACAAAAAATATATATATATATACACATCTGTTCCCTTATTTAACAAATGTTTATTAAGTGCCTACTATGTCTGAGCACTACTCTACCTGCCAGAGATATATCACTGAATTAAAAACATCAGATAAATACCCCTGCCCTCGTGGAGCTTACATTTTAGTGTAATATACTAGTAATAATGCAACTAATAAGAAAAATATGTGAAAAATTATGCTTAGCCTAGTACCTGTCCTAAAGTTATTGAATGAATGGTTGCTGCTATTTTCGTGTAGCAATTGGGCTTGGAGATTTGAACTGTCATCTTAGATAAGAAAAGAAAGCTGGACCAATACAGAGCTCCAAGCCAGTACGAAATTAAAAATACTACATAAAGATTAGAAAAGACAAAGAGGAAGAGAAGGAATGAAATCAGACCATCATCTATGGCCATGAGTTTTGTTTAAAATGAGCTGAACCTTTTTTCCTTTCTTATCTGTGTGTCAGAGATACAACTACCTCTAGGCAGACATCCACATTCCAAGACATTAAGACTTTCTAAGCTGCAGCAGACACATCTTTATATGCAGCAAAGCAGAGAACAATGCTGGTTATTTTCAGATGACAGCAGCCAAAGAGGAAGAATCAACAGTAACTCACTCACTCCTCCAACAACAATTCACTTCTGAAAGGAAAAACCCCTTCAGAATAATCACCCCAAGAGCGTGGACCTCAGCGTTCACTGAAGAACTTGGTTAAAATAAGTGCTAGACCTTGTTCACTGGTTCTTTTCTTTTCCAGAAATCTTCTCTATGTCTACCCACAGAGGCTGAACTTTGCTAACAAACTAGCATCTGCCCGGAACATTACAATAAAGATCCAGTTTATGTGTGGAGAAGATGCTAGCAGCGCCATGCCGGTAAGGAGGGAAATGAACATGCGCCTCATGCCAGGGTGCTGCCCTTCCCCTGTCTTTTCACACGGACAAAATCCAGGGCTCATCAGTAGACAGACGATGTCTATTTCAGGCCAACCTGTGTGGCACGTGCAAGGTCCTTTTCCCAGGACACTGATGGGGAAACAGGATCAGTCTAAATTAAAAGTGTCTTTCTTAACTCATTCTGTAGTGAGCTGTGAAACTTTGGAAATGCAGATTATTTTAGAGGACTGAAAAAGATCGTAAAGTCTTTGCATACTATGCATAGGAGCACACCACTCTAACAGCCTGCAAGGTAAAGAGGAGGCTCGGCGTGTCTGCCGTGTTTTCTGAGCACCTTGCATATGTGCGCTGCAGTCACGCGTATCCGAGCCTCTGACCTCCTCCACTGACAGGGGCAAGCACTGCCTGCTAACAACAGACACACGCCACCTCAGCACCTTTAGGAATGATCTTCGTCCTAAGGCAAAATACTAATCAAATAATAAGTATATAATGCAGTGTGCTCTAAGGAACCCAAAATACCATAATTTATACTTTCTAACCATCTGCCACTAAATGAGATAGGTAGTTAGCTATTACTATTTTCCATAAGTCATAGAATTCAGTTAACATACCTTTCTGCTGAAATAATTTTTTTTTCAGTGCTTTCATTTTTTAAATACTGGGTTGTTTTTTTTTAACCTTCCTCCTAATGTCCCACATATCTTCCCAATGCAAGGTGTCCTCTTGCAGTGGTGATGGGGGTCTGCTTGTCCAGTCTGCTCTGGGCCCTGGCAAGTCAACACCAGGGCTGCCAGCTGCAGTTGTGCAGATCCTGTATGTAGCCAGGGTACCCAGCCAAGGGGCAAGCGGGGGCTGAATTCCAGCCTGTTCTCCACTCACCATGCCCCAGGACCTGGCATGGAGGTTACTACATCTAGAGGAAAGAACTTTTTTCTTTGCCCAAAGGTGAGTTCACTTGTCAAATCACGTGCATACTAAAGGCTGGATCAGGCCCATGAAGATGTCTTTTTCTAAGTAGCACAAACATATGGACAGAGCAGTGGAGGTTCTGATCACCCAAGTGACCAAGTCCATATCTTTGGAAGGAGAAGAGCCTGGACCAGGGATCTTTCTCTGAGGGCAAGATTATGTGACTTTGCCTTGTTATGTCAACCTCTAGGCAATGAGGCAGAGTGGAGAGAGCACTGGTTTTCCAGTCTCACAAACCTGTGTCCCTTGGTCACTAATATAGCCCTTTTGGAACCTCAGTTTACCCTTCAGAGCCAGTTCTTCTGCATCAGTGAAAGCAGACCAGTTGTAGAACCTAGCACTTTTAATTTACAACATATAGCTTTGTGAGACCAGAACATCCCATTGGCCTGATGATAGTAGATTTGATATACGTGAATGTCACTGTTAATTTGGTCCTTTCTATATTGGTGAACAGGTTATCTTTGGAAAGTCCAATGGGCCTGAATTTCTGCAGGAAGTGTACACAGCCATTACATACCATAACAAGTAAGTATTTTTCAGAATTCTAAACATATGCTAAGATTGTTTCATTATCTCCTGGCTTTTCTGAGTTCCCCGAGGCATTCCTCCCAACAGTTTTTATAATTCAGGGACTAGGAGACAAAGGGAATTCATGCCAGTTCCATGATTCTGTGTGGGAGATGCACAATTTTTGCTATTAACTAAGACTGGCAGGAGAACATATCTTCAAGTACCTATTGTTTTGACTTTTCTGGAGCTTTCTAGGGAGACGTGGAGAATTTTTATAATGTTAAGGAAATAAATTTCCTAACTCACTTCAAGATACTGGAGGGGTCAGAAACAAAATCCAGCTCTCCTTGCCCAGTCTCCTTGTCTTCTGCACACCACCCCACACCTGGCCCACCACCTGCTTTAAGAAAATTTAAGTTGACCAAAGAAGAAATGAAACACTCATTATTTTATCAGTAAATTGAGTCACAGAATAATATCTAAACTGTTATTCACATTTCATAGGTATGGGAGGAATATCTGTACAGCGTCAGACAGAACTGGGCTTGATCCTGGCCTGATAACCTTGTCCCATTTAAGTCCAAAGGTATTTCAAAAAGTTAATGGAAAAATAGAACTAGGAAATAATATGAACTTTTTCATGAACTTTGTGAAGACCCCTTGTATTTCATTTAACCACTTTCCAGGGCTGGGATGGAGAATAAATGAGGTGACGTACATGAAGCCCTTATGGGACTTTGTCATTCAGTAAGATCAGGTTCCTTTTCCTTTCACATCATGCACTTGTCTCTCCAGACCTCTGATGAGTGAGGCCATCTGCCAGGCCCTGTTCTTGGGGTAGGGATGAACAGGAGGTCACAGCAGGACTCCGAACCTCATCCCCTTTCAGATTAAGTTGTTGGGTTTTTCCACTGTGTGGGAGGATTTTTTTTTTTCCCTCTAACAAAACCTTTAATTTGTGAGCAACTTTATGTAAGTGAAATGTACCAATAGCATAAGCTTGGTCTGAAGGACTTCCAGCCTAGGAGTGGAATAATATAAAACGAAAAGCACAACACCAAGCAGGTAAATTCGGAGGAGCAAAGGGTCCGTGGCATTACAATTTATCATCAGAGAAGTCATCATTCTTGCTAAAAGTTATTTGTGTGTAATGTGCTTTTGAAACAGGTCTCCTGACTTTTATGAAGAAGTGAAAATTAAGCTCCCTGCTAAGCTCACAGTAAATCACCACCTCCTGTTCACCTTCTACCATATCAGCTGCCAGCAGAAGCAAGGAGCCTCTGTAGAAAGCCTCCTGGGATATTCAGTGAGTTGTTTTCCACTCTCCCATTCACACTGCAGTTGTTGGTACATCCAAGGTCCCTGCAGAGATAAACGACTGAATTCTATTCACTTGCTTTTTTTCCTATCAGAAGTAGCAAAATGTGCTAAGCCAGATTATAGCAAAGAACAGAAATATAGGGTGATAGATATTGAACGAATACTCATTTATTTTTTTAAAAGCATAACAATGTTCATTATTTCCAAATCTAATACATGTGCTTCACATGTAGAACTACCTCTTTTTCCCCAAGGGGAAAAAAAGTTATTTCTTCAAAAAATATAAAAGGTAAAATAAACATTCATGTTGTTCAGACACAAAAACATTGGCTATAAAGAAAAATGCTACTACTTTGGTTCTGAACACAATAAATCATTGATATTATCATTTCAGGGGCTCTCAGGGAATTTAAAATGCAAAGAACTTGATAAAAATTATTGCCAAAAAGAGCCTGGTCAATATTTAATCATTGTTTAGTTGCGTTTGATTATTGTGAGCTAGATAAATTGCCAGAATTATGTGCTATAATAAATACCACTTTATTCTTTACATCATCTGTTTCAGTGGCTGCCAATTCTCTTAAATGAACGTCTTCAAACTGGATCCTACTGTCTCCCAGTTGCCTTGGAAAAACTGCCACCCAACTACTCCATGCATTCTGCTGAGGTAACCAGCAAGCTGCCCTTCAGTCGCTTTCCATCTAGCCATGGTCTCGGACAACCTTCCCAGACCTTTAAATGTGAATGAGCATACCCATCATGTTTTCTGGAGCAGTCATCTGTCAGCACAGTGTTTCTGAGAGCACATTGTTTCATGGTTCTGACAAAATGAAGGAAATAACTCGCTGCGAAATCTCACTCAGTTAGACATGAACAATTCAGAATGTTTAGTAAATGCAACTTGCACCCAAGGCAGCATTACCTTGCATTATCTACAACTAAGCGAGCCACAGAATAATGTATTATAAAAGAGGAGGCAAACTGAGCCCGCCTGGCAGAGCTCCTTATAAAAGGTTCTGAAGCCAGGTTCCATTAGTTTCTCCTGTGAGTCAATTGTCACAGCCCCCATGTGGAATTTGGGGCTTTTATTTCTCTACACATCCCAATACCAATAGCCTCTCCCCCTTCCTGTTTCCTGCACTGGCTCTGGCCGCATCCACCCGGCTGCAATACACCCATTCAAAGGGAGCTCAGAGAATTCCTGCCCTCACCTCCCAGCACCAGCTCTCAGTCCCTTTGGTGGAGGTTTATATCAATAAGTATTGTTTTGAAGTGCATCCCAGGTATCGTATCATTTCATTTACAAATATTTTAATATGTATTTTAAAATATAAGGGCTCTTTTTTAACCATCACAATACTATTGTCATACTTTAAAAATTAACTAGAATTTCTTAATATCATCAAATATCCAGTCAGTGATCAAATTTCCAATTGTCCCGTTAAGGTCATTTTTTTTTTACGCTTGTTTGTTTGAATCAGGATCCAAATAAGGTCCACACATTGCTGGTTGATATATCTTTTAAGACTTTTTAAATCTATAGGTCCTCCTTCATTCTTTGGTTTCCTCACAATTTTCAGATTGAAGAATTTCCCAGGAATTTGAATTAAGTTCTGACCTTTGCAGTCAACTTTCTTCCGCTTTTAAGACTTTTTAAATCTATAGGTCCTCCTTCATTCTTTGGTTTCCTCACAATTTTCAGGTTGAAGAATTTCCCAGGAATTTGAATTAAGTTCTGACCTTTGCAGTCAACTTTCTTCCCTACTCTTTCACTATCTGCCTCCTCTTCCCAAGCTATCTGTTTTTTTCCTTATTTCCTTTTTTCCCCCTGGAGAAAGAAGCATCTTTTGCCCTGGGCCATATAGGCACATTCCTGACTTTAGAACAAAGCTGCTCTCCTCAAATGTTCACAGACATTCCCTGATTATTATTTATGATTTGGACACACACCACATTGCAGAAGCCCTCAAAACCACCTTGTATCATCAAGCTGCACATTTTGATTTCCTAGAACTCCCAATTATCTTCTTAAGCTAGAGAACAAACCTGAGTTTTGGAGACAAACAAATCTGGATCCAAAAATCTAGACCCTGCCACTTCCTAGCTGTGTGAACTTGGCGAGTTGCTTACTCTCTCTGAGCCTCAAAGATGAAGCCAAGCCCATATCTCCCTATAAGGCTGGGGTTGCTCTGAACATTAGATGAGATAATGCATGTCAAGTAACAAACTTGAGACTTAAATAAATAGAGTTCCCTTTTCCTACTTACCCTAAGCTATATAGATACACCCTTCGCCTCTCCTAATGTCCTTCAGACCTGCACAGCCCACTACATCAGCCACTAGCTGCATGTGGCTACGGAACACTTGAACTCTGGCTAGTCCAAACTGAGATGTGCTATAAGTATAAAACTTGCACTGGATTTCAAAGACTTAGTATTGGAAAAAAATGTAAAATATCTTATTAATAATTTTTATATTGATTACATGCTGAAATAATCATCTTTAGGCTATACTGGATTAAATGAATTGAGGGTACTTCAAAAAGTTCATGGGAAAATGGAATTAAAAGATAATACAATCTTTCCATGAATGTTTTGAAGACCACTAGTATATTGTTAAAATTACTTTCACATGTTCCATTTCACTTTTTTTATGTGACTACTCGATGATTTAATATGACATAAATGGCTTACATTATATTTCCATTGGACAGTCCTATTTTAGATCACAGATGGCACATCAAGCTCCCCCAGGAATTGAATAAAATAAACGAGTGCCCAGACCTGGTGGAATCTGTTCTCTCTGGAGATTGTCCACCCCATCCAAAGGTCACAGCTGCTCCTCTGCTCTGCACATCGGTGCAATGCTGGGGTGCAAGGCTGATATTCTTGTATCTTCTGGTTCTCAAAAGAAGTTACAAGAGCAGTCTTGTATATGAAATCTTCTGACTTTTGAATGCTGGCAACTAACTCAATAAAGTTTCCAACACTCTGTGGGCCACATAGAACTTGTCTGTGGGCTGGAGCCAGCTTTGGGACCCAGTTTGTGACTTTGCCTTGGATAGAGCCAAAGGTCTTATCCCACGCGCACATCCACCTGCAAGCGCAGTAGACCTCTTTCTGCTAAAATGTCTTGTAAAAATATTCTGTACTCTGCCCTCACATCCCTGATTAACAGGAAGAGTGCTGAGGAATTACTTTATTTACTTTTCAATTCCTAAAGTTAAAAATCATCAATGATGGATGGGAGCTTAGAGACAGATTATCCAGTTCAACCCTCTCCTTTCAGCCCAGAGAGTTTAATTGCCTTGTTAAAGTAAAAATAATTAATTTGGTGCAGAACCGAACTTGAACCCANTTTTTTTTTTTTCCTCTTCAACACAGAAAGTTCCTTTACAGAATCCTCCCATTAAGTGGGCTGAAGGACATAAGGGAGTATTTAATATTGAAGTGCAAGCTGTTTCTTCCGTTCACACCCAGGTAAGGAGCATCAAGGTCAACTTCACATCAGACCCAGAAGGCTAGTAATGAAGATGGAGGCACAGCAGGAAAAACCTTCCAAGGACAGGCCAATAAAAGAGCGATTAAAATCTTTTTCTACGGATAAATCAAAAATGCCCTTTAGTTCATTGTGAGAACTTACAAACCTATTCAGGTTTTATTTTTTCTTTAAATAGAAAGACTTTACAAAAATGTTGAGCACCTAAATGAAGGAACCTGGTACTGCACTGTTGGTTGAGAAACTTTGCAGGGAGAATTGATTTGAAACACTTGTCTGCTTTATTTCCCTCTGTGATTCTGCCATTTCACCAGCCTTTTTTTTTTTAATTCCATACTCCCTCCTTGGCCTGCCATTGTCTGAGTTAAGATCCCTTTTTTTACCTGGCACACTGGCCTCTGCTTACAGGATATATCAGAGCCTAAGTTGTTTCTTCTTCAGTTAATAATCATTGAGAGGTCCTATTTTGTGCACTTCATTCTACAAAGAAGTTTGTAACCTTGGTCTAAAACATCCATGTCTTAGAACTTCTGTTCTGAAACACAGGATAAAAGGCTCTACTCACAAAGAGCTATTCAATTGTGTTTGTGAATCCATTGGTGAACACTGATGGGATAAGACACCACAAGTCCTGCCTTCTGCCTTCCCAGGACAACCACCTGGAGAAGTTCTTCACCCTCTGCCACTCCCTGGAGAACCAGGTGACCTTCCCCATCCGTGTGCTGGACCAGAAGATCAGTGAGACGGCGCTGGAGCATGAGCTGAAACTCAGCATCATCTGCCTGAACTCCTCCCGCCTGGAGCCCCTGGTGCTTTTCCTGCACCTGGTGCTGGACAAGCTCTTCCAGCTGTCCGTGCAGCCCATGGTCATTGCTGGCCAGACAGGTAGGAGTCTTTGGGTCTGGGAGAGGCAGGAGCAGGTGGACGTGGCCCTGTTTAGTGAAACAGGATTTTCCAGAAATCCAGGGACAACATGATCTTCCTTTCCATTGATAATGTGAGTTCAAGGTGGGCCAAGCCCAGAGCAATATATATATATATTATATTATATATTATATATATATATATATATATATATATACAGAGAGAGAGAGAGAGAGAGAGAGAGAGAGAGAGACTCTGCATGTTTTAAAGAAAAAAAAGAAAGAAACATTAAAACAGTTTTTGATGTCATAGTTTTTTTTTTGGTAAACTTTATTGGATGATTACAGGAATTCCATTCCTGGCAATTGATGGATTTATTTTACCTCTAAGACATTTTTGTTTTCTTGACCAACAAGGAAATAGGACATTTTAAAGAAGACAGCCCATATTAAATGGAGGGAAAGTAACTCTCTAAATTGAAATTCAATGTAATCACTTTTTTTATTGCAATATAATGCTCATACCATAAAATTTACTATTTTAAAATATACAGTTTAG